ACACATATTTCATTTGATAATTTGCAGTGTTATTTATTTATCCTTCTATATAATTTCATTAACTTCATTATACATGAATGTTTGTTAATGCTATCCTGTTGCAAATTAGGTGAATATGCTTATGTCATTATACTATGTCTTTCGTTGACATGTATCTTCTTTCTTTTTGATGTTGTCAAAGGGGGAGAAGAAACAAAGCAGAAACAACAAATCACTTTATAAGACTGATCAAACATGCTGATCATTTCTAGATAAATGCATAGAGTAAGGGGGAGGATGATACTACACATTATGCTCAACTATGTTTCTATTGTTTTGCCATCATAAAAAAGGGAGAGTATGTGAGGGCAAAGTGCCTTGTACTTGGTTATACTTGTTTTAATGATGTTAAAACATATATAGTTAGAAAAGTGTACTTTGGACGATATCATCGAGTCGCATATGCATACATCATTTTTCTAGTGGCAAATATTTGTCAAAATGTGTCTTGATTTATATAGGAAAAGAATTATATATGTTCTATATGAGTTTGATCATGTTGGTCGAGTTAGAGATGCATTAGGAACACTTTGATGTATCTAAACATATCAAAATCTACATTTTTGCAAGTTCTGAGTCTTTGAGTCGACTCAAAGCTTGCTTAGGCCAACTCATACAGAAGTCAATTTTCATGTTTTGCTCTTAGGAGAGCTCGCGTCAACCCCCCGGTCGACTCATACTGCGTGCATTTGTATTTGTCAAAATTGGGGTGTTTTGCATCGACGCATGGACCTGTTCCGGTCGATGCAAAGAGCATTTTTCTGCATAATCTTGAATTCGGGAGAGCTCAGGTCGACCCCCTTGTTTTAGGTCGACCGCTCGCTCATTTCTCATAAAATTTTTGTTATGTTTACCATTCAAAGTAACTATTATGTTTGTTATTTGGTTACAACTTTGCATATATATTGAGATAGCTCATTCTACATAACCTGAATAAGAAAAGTGAAAATATACACTGATTTGGTTCTCATCATCTTCGACCTCTTTCTTGTATTTTCTTAACAACTACAAATAATCATTTTTATTGTGCATTTTGCATCATTGAGGTGATAACGTCCAAACTTAGAATCGGTGTATCGGGTTTGGGTTGAGAAACCAATGGGTTTTTCTTGAATAAAACCTTAGGGTTTTGTCCTCAAAGAATCTTGGATTTTGGGGATTTTGCACAAATCGTTCTTTCACAGATTCAACCGAGCGAAGGTAATTGAAGAACAATAGGTTATGTCAATTTAGCAGCGTAAACAGGAGGATTTTGGAAGGAAGGTTTGGATTCGAATTATTGGTGTTTGAAATTAGCTGAGCAAGATTTGAAGACCAGAGGGTTGTTCAAAGATGGTGTCGTAATCGGAGGTTTACTCATCACGTTCAAAGGACTTGATTCATCTTGAATCAAGAGAAAAGAAGGCATAGGCTCAACATCAATGTTTGGGATTAAGCGTTTGAATTCTTTTGCTTCTCTTGTAAAAACAATTTGCAACAAGTTATATATACATGTCTCAATTCTATTTTTAGAATTGAGAGCAGACGTACCCTGAGCGAGGACGACGAAGAAACTGCCTCAACAAATTGGTGTTCTCTCTTTTTACTATTTTCATTGCTGAATTTTGAGTTTGTGTGCAAACATATTAGTTGACTAGAATTCTAGCGTGTTAGTGCTGAAACATTTTTAGAAATCTCATTACAATTTGTTTGATTGTAATCGAAAAATCTTAGCACTTCATTCACTATTGAATTTTACTTGGGGGTGTTTCACACACCAAGTGTTCGACTAATTGCGTGAATACAAACACTTGAGCTGTTTTTCAATTTGGTTTGTATTTCACAAGCATTGAAAATTGTCCAACTTTGAGTGAACAAAATCCTATTGATTTGTGTTCAAATTATTGATTTTAATTTTCGTCTTTATCGTTACTCCATATAGGCATAGTGTACATCCGATCTTTTTGGTAACAAGTCGTTTAGACGAGTATAATTCCTCGGGCGCTTCCGTTTAAAACTTTTAAAAATCAAATTATATTAAGCGCCGACTCTGTTTTAAATAAGTGGTCTATTCAACCCATATTCTAGATCATTGTCGTCGTCTAACAAAGATTGTAAAGTTGTATTCCTTGTTGTCAAGGATTGTTGGAAGCAAGAGAGTGATTAATGGAGGATTGTTCTCTTAATTCACTTAGTTGTAAAATTCAAGAGGTTGTTCTTGGTGTGCTTGTTAGAGTCTGTATAGAAACGCTAGTATAGTCTTATCATAAGATCTAACATTATTAAAAATCTCTTTCATGTCGAAAAGGGTCTGAAGTACTCTTGGACTGTGAGGGAAATCAGGATATATCGCTGTATCATTTACTTTCCGCATTTATCGCTTTCATCACATAGTAATCAATTAGAAAAGTAAAACTTGAAATCTTCAAAATCCAGAAAATCTTCAAGTACCTAATTTACCCCCCTCTTAGGTGCAACTCTTACTAACATGTTCTTCCCCCATAACTCATCTCACACTCTTACCAGCTTCACGAATTCAGATTGGGAAGCATGCCATACAACTTGAAGATCCATATTCGGATCTACCTTCTTTCTTGGCAACAACTTAATTAGTTGGAAAACAATGAAATAAACTGTCGTGTCTTGATCCTCCTCCGAAGCAAAATATCAAGTGTTGACAAATACTGCATGTGAAGCCCAACGATTGTTATATCTTTTGCACGATTTCTTCGTTGATCACAAACAACCCGTAACAATAATTTGTGACGATAGAAATGTCATTCATATTGCCTAAAACCCAACGTTTCACGAACGAACAAAACATATTGAAATTGATTGTCACCTCGTCTAGGATAAGTTACAAGCCAACTTGATTCCCTTAATTCTTATCAATTCTGAAAATCAAGTGGCGAACATCTTCATGAAAGCCTTTCATCTCGGTCATTCACTTCTCTTGTTGGCAAACTCCAAATGATCAACATCCATTCTAGTTTAAGGGGGGATGTTACAACTTGAGTTTTATTTTAATTATCTTTATTTTTCTGTTTTATTATTCTATTTTTAAATAATTTTGTTGTAATGTTATTAGGGTAGGTTATTATTCTATTAGTTTTTATTGCTCCAACAATAGTTATCCTGAACCTATATAAGGACCCAGAGTTCTCCATGTACAATTTCAATTTTTTTATTAATAAGATCTTCTTTTTCTTTTATCAATATGCTAGCCCTGCCATGCGTTAACAATTACCATTTAGCACATCAAATTAAATAAATTATAATTTTTATTGTCATAAATTAAATTATAAAATAATCCATCAATTACATAAATAAAAAATCTATATATCTCAAGAGTTTCATAATCCCATTAACATTTTTGAGAATTTGAATCTCTTTTTTCTTCGACGGTGTAAGATGAAACAATATGAGAACACTCTATATAGCAAATAAATAAATTAACTATATAATAAAACATCAGTACCAAACTATTAACACTATCAAATTATCACATAGTTAACAATTAAATATGAGAGTGTTATGTGAAAAAATAAGTACCCCTGTAAACACCAAAACAATAATAACTCATTTTATGAAAGCACAAACTTCTTTTAATCCCCAATTGAATAAATATAGTTTTTTCAGTTTGTCTTTCTTCCACCAAATTTAAGTTGTAAAATACAAATATTTAAGTTTATAATTGTGATTGTTGCATATGGCTACTGCTCTTACTCTTGTGATTGTTCTTGTAATTCACCTTGTCTCCCTAGCAAAAACCAAATTTTTGATGCTATCGCAATCTTCTCCAATGCCAATTGCAACTCTATGGGTTTAAGTTTATAAATGCATGGTAAATTTCTATGTTTACAATTATGATCTTCATCTTCTTCACATTAACTTGAGATTAGATTTATATTTATTTTTTTAATAACTATTATTTATTATGTGGCATTCATTATGACTTCCACCTTGGCAAAGTAAAATGACACCTAATTATTTCAGATTCCACGTCAATGCCACATAAACTATCTCATTGACATTTACTAACATGATGGACATAAATGACTAATGTGAAACATTTTGTATAGTTTAAATACTATTATAGTCTTTTTAAAAGTTAAGGGACCAAATTGAACCCGAGTCAAAGATAGAGGAGGAAAAATTTATTTAACCAAAATAATAACAACAACAACAAAGCCTTATCCCACTAATTATGATCAGCTACATTGATCAACTTCTCCATAATGTTTTATCAAAGACCATGTTTCTATCCAAGTTATTAATCTCAAGATCTTTCTTAATCTTCCTGTTCCTCTAATTGTTTGTCTTCTCCCTATTTGGTCTGTCCTCCTTACTACAAAATCTACCAGTATTCTCTCTACATGTTCAAACCATCGAAGTCTATTTTCCACCATCTTCTCCACTACAGGCCCTACCCCGACACTTTCTATAATATTTTCATTTCTAATTTTATCCCGTCGAATCTTACCACACATCCACCATAACACTCTCATCTCTCTCACACTTACTTTATTCTCGTGTTGATTCTTAACCATTCAATATTTTATTCCATACAAAATCTCAGATCTTACTATAGTCCGATAAAATTTTCCCTTTAACTTTGCATCACATATTTCAACCATCCATCTTAAATTCAATAGTTTACATCACCTTCTATTTTTTCATCATTTTATATTACATACTCTATATCTAAACTGTGTGACTTAAAGAATAATATGATCTCAAATTTTCAACCCAAATGAATAAAATTAACATCTAGTAAAAGAAAAACGAAAAAAAAATGTTTAAGTAAAAACAGAAAAAGGAATATCATTTGGGTTTAGTGGGTTATTTGGGCCCAATACATTAATCAGCAAAAACTATTCTCTTCCTCCGGCGTTAGGGTTTTCTTCCCCCTGCAACATCCTGCACATTTTCCCTCACCCCTATCGATTCTCGCGGTGGTTGCTACGCTTCAGATTCACAACATGGCAACCACAAGTATTCTCACACCAATCTCTATTTCGTTTTCAGTTTTCTTCCGATTATTTTTCTTCACTCATATGATTCCATTGGTGATTCGTTTTCTGCAGCTACTGCTAGGTCTTTTCTTCAAGCTGTCGCAACGGAAGAGGTTGCAACTCCTCTTAGAGTCGTTCAGATGGAAGGACTGGTATCAATTCTGCCATTTCTATGATTTAATTGCACAACCCTATTACACTGTTTTTGGAATTGATTAAAATGTTGCCTTTATTTGGGGGTTTTGAAGGGTTTTGTATTTGTAATTATCGGCTTCTGTTTGTTTTTGTATACGGGTACTTTACACTTTGTGTTGTTTTGTAACTTCACTTGTTTATGGACTCTTTGTTTTCATAGTTGATATAGGATTTTGTGAATTTCAATACTCAAGTAGCATTTTACATTGTTAGGTCTGTTAATTGCGGATGGCTCAAAATAGCTGTTTGTTCAAATTCTGCATTTGCTATTTCACAATATTTTGTATTAAGTAAAATATACAACAACAACCAAGCCTTATCCCACTAAGTGGGGTCGGTTACATTGATTAACATTTGCTATAATGTTCTATCCAGAGCCATGCTTCTATCCAAATCAAAAATCTCAAGATTTTTTTATTAACTTCTTTATAGTCTTTCTAGGTCATCCTCTAGGTGTTTGATCTCTCTCCATCTAATCTAGTCTCCTTACCACCGAATTTACATGTCTTCTCACTACATGCCCATACTAAGTAAAGTATATAATAACAAATTGTACACATTTTGCAATTGGTACTATTCTACAACTCTGAATATTTTGTAGGTGTTTATGTACCGCTTTCTTGGTAAATATAGGACCATGTCATCTATGTCTGTAGTAAAGTATTTGAGGAATCCCACTAAATTGTTAAGGAAATCTATTGGTTAACAGGTTATCCTGAAGATAATTAAGCATTGTAAGGACCACTCACCTTCTTTAGTCACTGGACAACTTCTTGGGTTGGATGTCGGTAGTGTTCTTGAAGTTACCAACTGCTTCCCTTTTCCGGTATGATATCATATTTTTGTTTTTCTTTTTGTTTCTCTGTTTTCACATTATCTTTCTTTGACACATGTTTTCATCATATCTATTTCTAAAATTTGTAGATGAGGGAGGAGGATGAGGAAATTGAAGCTGATGGTGCCAATTACCAGCTTGAAATGATGAGGTGCTTGAGGGAGGTTAATGTTGACAATAATACCGTTGGATGGTATGCATGATTAATGTACCACTTTACATATGCACGAGTGTTTCTAATTTCAGTATTTTGATGAACACAATTTGATTTGGTTTAAACTTCAGTGTGTTATTTGTAATCATTTATCTAACACGAGGGATAACTCTCTGAATCTAGGTACCAGTCCACATTGCTTGGTTCCTATCAAACTGTGGAGCTGATCGAAACCTTTATGAATTACCAGGTATTAACTAATATTTTTCTTCATTTTTTCTCTAAAGCTGGGATTTTGTGAACTATGTTATTATGGAAACTAAATGCTCCTCTAGTTTACTATTTAATGTGAATGTGCTGAATTTGTTCCTTTTTCACGCCTTTCCAAGCTATCCAATGTTGGTCGGATGAGCCATTAGAGCATGCCACAGTAAGCTACATAATATTCTGTGAAATATAATTTTGGAATGCTCAACAGGCCAAAAAAAGTTGTATGCAATGTTTTAAAACTTGAGATTCTACACAAGATTCGGGAGAAGGTTGAAAGGTTGTAACTCGAGGATCCTAGCACAGGTTGTAAGATCCTGCTAATAGTGAAAAATTATATTTATATATAGTTATATACATATGTACATAAAAATTATCATAGACAATTTAACAACAATAAACAATATATAGACAAAATAAATAACCTCTAAATCACAACACTGAACTAAGCTCATAGGAACATAAAAGATTTAAGGGTTAAAGGCTAAATTTGTTCAATAGTGTATTTCTATGTTTTTTCTGTTGTCGGCTTAAAGGCCCAAATGTTGTCAATTATTAATATTATGATCATTAGTTATTATTAACCAATAGTCACAGTGCTGTACACCTCTAATATTGTGTTTGGTGAGGAGACCTTACCATGGTTCCTGTGATAACTCTTTTTTCTCATTTATTAATTACATATCTCTTCCGATCTCTACATCATCTTTTTATGCTACGAGTTACGACCATGCCTCTCCAACTCTCTACCCTTCAGTGTTGTAGCCGTGGTGCACATTCGTATCAGCTATCACTGAAGAGTATTGGGAGCAAGGAGAACTGGAGTAAACGAGAAAATGATTGGTTTCTTTTCATAACCCATGTTAAATAAACTCAACTCACACCCAATCTAATTTTTAAATAAGTTTTCCCCTCGAAAACCTGACACAACACATCAAATTTCATAATGATCCGTAACACCAACTCAAAAGATTCTGACGATCCTGCTCAATATGGTTCAACGTGACATGCAACACGGTGGTAGAGGTTTGAGACATAGAATTGCACGATCCTCTGATCCAACTCGTGATTCTGCATGCCTCGGTGGTATGCACCACAAGATTCTAACATTTTATTGTGTAATTATCATGATACAGAGGCATTGTCATTTGTATTCAAGACAATCATATGAAAGTTGCCTCAATTAATTAGCTGAGAATTTAGCATGTGCTTATTGCATTGGTCTGAGGCAGATGTATGTGCTAGTGAAAGTGTAGGAAGTTGACTAGAATAGACATTTGTGCATAATAATCAACTTATGTGAATTTCCCGCTTCTTCCGTTGTTTAAGTATCTGTTTCTTAAAAGTTTATCATAAAGTATTGATGATGGTATTTTTTCAAATTTGGATGCAATTGCTGTAATAATTTATCAAGAATTTCATAATCAGGTAAATGACTGTTTTTTAAACATTAATGTTTTTCAGGAGAATATTAGACGCTGTGTTTGCATAATATATGACCCATCAAGGTCTGATCAAGGTGTCCTAGCTTTGAAGGCATTAAAGCTCTCAGACTCATTCATGGAACTGTATCGCAGCAATAATTTTACTGGGGATAAGTATGAATTTTCCTCTAGATATAATGTTTTCTCTAAGTTTAACTATCTGCTTTACTAATCTTCTGTCTTATGAAATAGATTGAGGGAGAAAAACTTATCATGGGTGGATATCTTTGAGGAAATACCCGTAAGCTTTCTCAAACTTTGCTGTTGTAACCTTTAAGTATATGACAACATTATCTCTCTCCTAATAAGTTGCTATTTTATTTAATTGTTTAAATATAGAATATGTGTGTGCTACTGAATCATATTAATGTGAGGAAAACATGAAACAATCAAAAACAAAATCTCAGTCACTTTTGTTAATGCATCAGTTAAGAATGAACCGTACATGCAACTCGTTACAAGGTCAACAAGATCATAACATGGCCACTTGCTATTCAACACTGAATTGCTTATCATTTTTTCTTGTTTATTTATAAATCAGATCAAGGTTTCAAATTCTGCCCTTATCAGCGCTTTTATGACTGAGCTGGAACCTGATACTCCAGTCACCCAGGTGTGCTATGATATTTATTTGCCAGAGATTCTTTTGGCTATTCTGAATTTAGTTTCTGTTTTCATATACTTTTGTGTAATTGCAGTGTGATTATGATCGCCTGCAACTGTCAACCAGTTCACTAATGGAGAGAAATATGGAATTTTTGATTGAATGCATGGATGACTTGTCACTAGAACAACAAAAGGTTTTTTTAGGTTTTCACTTGTGTTTTTTTCTTTCTAATTTTTGAATACATTTTAACAAAGTTTCTTCTATTTCAGTTCCAATTCCACTATCGTAGCTTGTCTCGTCAACAGGCTCAGCAGCAAGCATGGCTTCAGAAGAGAAGGTATGATCCTGTCTTGAATTGAACTAGTTTTTGTTCTAGCAAAACTGATAAATGCATTGTTTGACACTTAGGGCTTGTTTGGATAAACAACTTATTTGCAGCTTATGGCACAAGTGCTTGTCAAAATAAGAGCTTATGAATGAGCTTGCATAAGCTATTTTTATAACAAAAGATAAAATAAATTGTTTTTATATATGTTATAAGTTGTTTTCATTAGCTATCTTGAAGAATTTATAAAAATAAGTTCAAAAAATTTTATGAAAAATGTCATTAGCTGTTTTGATTAAGTCTCCCAAACTGTGATACAGAACTTATGTTATGGCATTAAATAAGCTCAAATAAGCCCATCCAAACAGGCCCTTAGTCTTCAGAAAGCTTTATTAACTAGGCTATTGAGTAAATGAAGAGTACTAAATCAGGAGTATGCTAGAGATTTGCACTAAACTTTGAGAATCAAGATTTGCATGGAAATTTACCTGTGTTTATGTACTGATAAACAATTATAATGCACTTTTCTTTGGCATGGCTTTTTATTAGTAAATGTGGACATTGACTATTGCAGTAGTATCTAATCCTTGTCCTCAATTAGTTCATTCCATTATGGGTTTGGTTTTTGTTATTATAGGGCGGAGAACATGTCACGAAGAGCTGCTGGGGAAGAGCCTTTGCCCGAGGAAGATCCTGCAAACCCAATTTTCAAGCCGCTCCCTGAACCATCACGGCTGGAGAGCTTCCTCATAACAAATCAAATTTCCAACTATTGCAACCAAATCAATGGGTATGTATTAAGATTTTGATGGTGACCAAGTATTGTTTTAAAAACCGAACTGAACATTAAACTGGCACTGTCGTGTCTTGTTATAAACCATTTCAACAAAGATGAAAACATTGATTGAACCAACCGAATAACCAAACCATAGTAAAAGTCGGTTCAAGGTTCAACTGGTTGAACTCTGGTTTAGTTTCTGGACCCTTATTATTGGATATATCTTTTCTCTAGTCAAAAGTGCTTAATCATGGTTACATTTCTCTCTTGATATTCTGCAGGGTTGCAGGGCAAAGCTTTAACAGACTCTATTTGATGAAGGCTTTGCACGAGGAATAAAAAGGCAACTTTTCTTTGTCACTCTGATGCTATATAGAATGAGAATTTTATGTTGAATTTGGTAGTATATCAGAGAATTGTTGTTTTTAAGGCTAAGTAATTTTTGTTTTGTTCAATTTATTTTTAAAAACTCTTCAATTGTATGCAGTGTAATCTGTTATATTTAGAAAGAGAAGACACGTGTAGTGCTGCTTTTTTGTCGTTAATTGTTTTTTATCTATAATTTATAATATTTGGGCTTCATTGTGAAATGAAAAACATCAACTTTTTCTATAAAACAACTATTTATCGGCTACTAACTCTATAAAGCGTCGAATACCAAAATATTCATCTATTTTGTTCGGTATGTTTATTGTCCAATGAAACATTTTATAAAATAAAAGTTGTTCAATGCTTTAAATATTTGTTATATTATTCTGCACTGTATTTATCTATTTAAAAAAAAAGCTGAAATAATTAAGTCCTAAATGTAATAATTTTTTTCACATATATATAGAGATAGATAAGCTATTTCACTAAGTGAAGTTTGTAATTGATAAATTGACGTTGACTGTTTTATAAGCATGATAATTATTCTCTTTGAAAATGTGAGCAACTTTAAAATGCATTTAAGAAGTGTGAAATTCCTCTATCTGTATTGAAGAGTCCATGGAATAACACAAGGTTTCTTGAAAGCGAAGGTACTCGACACGAAGAGCAATGGAAATACAAATAGTCGAAGCATGTCAATTAAAAAGTTAGCTTGATAGTATTAAAAACACCGCCACAAGTTGCAATGCTAGGACTTACAATGAATAGCTCCATTTGAGTTGCATTTTATTTATGATAATATAGGTGGGTGCTACACGATCCTTTTGATTTTAGGAGCTTTAAAAGGACAAAGAATTGCAAATTCGGTCAGTGAGGCTGGACTTTGGAATCCCATGAAGGCGTGAGATTTCCACAGAAAACCTGGAGGCCAGATCTTGAGCAGTAAACCTAGTAGGCATAGCCATGAAATGTGCGTATTTCGTGAGACGATCGCACACAGCCCAAATCACTGTATGTCCAAAAGAATTTAGTAAGTTAGTAATAAAATCCATAGTCAATTCGTCCCAAACTTCATTAGGAACTGGTAATGGTTGTAGTAACTCCTTTTTCTTGTGTCTGATATTTGTTGTGTTGGCAGGTCGAACAGTGCTTGACAAACTCGTTAACTACAATGGATAATCTTGAGCCATGAAAAAGATGCTGAGACACGGGCTAACGTGGCTTTGACACCAGAATGACCCGAGGTTGGGTACTATGAAACTCATGAAGAATGTTGTGACGAAGGTCCTGCAGATCAGGTGTGAATAACTTGTCTGTGGTATAGTAACCCTTTGAAAAACTTGTAGAACTGATGACTATTAGTGTTGATGAGTTGTTCAACTAATTCTTTACATGTTGTGTCCTTTGCATAAAACTTTTGGACTTTACACATGAGGTCTGGAATAGGGGACGACAAGGCCAGCAACACAATATCATCGGTATGGAATTGTCTGCTCAACGCATCCGCAACAAGATTGGATTTCCCAAGTTTGTAACATATTTCAAAGTTAAAGCCTTGTAGTTTAGAAGCCCATTTTTGTTGTTCTAGTGTCTGAATCTTTTGTAGGAGAAGATTCCTTAAACTTTTTTGATCTGTATGTATGTATATCAAGTTGTTGCTCTAGAAGGTATTGACGTTATTGTTTTGCAGACTCGGTAATGGAAAACATTTCACAAACATACACGGATGTCAATTGCATGCGGGGCAGAGCTTCTTACCAAAAAAGCAATGGGATGAGCTTCTTGGGATAAGACTGCACTGATTGCAACACCAGAAACATCGGTCTCAACAGTGAACTTTTTTTTGTAAAATCTGGTAATGCTAGGACTGACATGTCGGTCATTGTTTGTTGTAACTTTGTAAAGGCTTTGGCCGCTGCTGTACTCCATACAAACTTAGTGGAATGTAAAAAATCGGTGAGCGGAGCGGCGAGATTAGCGTAGTTCCGAATGAATTGACGATAGAAACCAGTGAGACCTAAAAATCCACGAAGGGCAGTGAGTGACCGTGGTTGGAGCCAATCAAGGCCTTGACTTTGTCTGGATTGGGTGCAACACCACCCACTGAGATAACATGACCCAGAAAATTAACTTGATTCACTGCGAACACACACTTGGAGTAACTCAAAAATAACCTGCAAATGAAGTAAGTGATCAATGAAAGTAGGACTATAAATCAAAATGTCATCGAAGAAAACTAAAACAAATTTTTGTAAGTGAGGACATAAAAGGTCGTTCATAGCTGATTGAAAAGTAGTTGGAGCGTTAGTGAACCCAAAGGGCATAACGAGGAATTCGTAGTGCCCGTCAAAAGTTTGAAAAGCTGTCTTATGCGTGTCTTCCGATGCCACTCGGATCTGATGATAACATGAGCGTAAGTCTAACTTGGTGAAAAATTGAGCAGAAACCAACTCATCCAAGAGTTCGTCAATTGTAGGGATAGGAAAACAGTCTTTAATAGTCACATCATTGAGAGCGCGATAATCAACACAAAAACGCCAAGTTCCATCCTTTTTTTTACAAGTAGTACAGGTGAGGAGAAAGGGTTGTGACTGGGTATGATAATGCCTTGCTGTAACATATCTTGGACGATGAAGGCTATTGCTGCCTTTTGGGAATGGCGATAACAGTAAGGTTTGACATTAATGGGTCGTGTGTTAGGTTCAAGGGGTATGTGGTGGTCATGAGGACGTTTAGGTGGAAGGCCTAAGTTGGTTTGGAAAATGGTTGGGTATGTAAAAACACAAATTGTTTCTTAATTATATCTCTATGTTTTGATGATAACTCTTATGAAATTTTGTATTAAAGAATTATATACTCTAAAATTTGTTCAAAAATGTTTGCTGCAGATATTAAAGGAAATATACTTCTGAGAGCAAATTAAATCTGAACATGCAACTATGAAAGAATCTGAAGCGTCAGAAGCATATGAAAGTAGAATCTGAACGCTGCCTACAGGAGATTCTGAGCGCTGTCTGCAGAAGAATCTGAAGCAGAAGCTATAGAAGAATCTGAAGCAGAAGCTACAAAAGAATCTGAAGCAGAAGCCTCTGAAGCATTGAAGACTTTTGTATGAGAGTTAAGAAGCACAGTTTTTCAGAAGACTCTGAGAGTACTACACACTGCAAGTACTGAGGATCTGATCCATAAAACTCTGCTCTAATGGAATTACACGTTGAAGCACACTTGCTGCATTACTCTGATTCAGCAAACTCTGATGGACATCAAAGACTCTGATCACTCAAGGCTCTGATGTTATTTGCTGAAGTATGAAACACTTGTTGAAGAAGAATTCAAAAGTTATGTCCGTTGATTTGGCTCAACGACTCTTTCCTCTTTCATGCTTGACACCAGAACACAGACCAAAAAGATTTCTCTGTGCATTCTATTTCCAGGAAAGGTCATGTGATGTGAAGACAAAAAGGTTACAACCTTTTCAGTACACAGCCTTCAACATGAAAGACTTCTTGGACTACTGTGCCTATAAAAGCAAGTCTCCATCATCTTCTTCAAGTTGACGAATCATTGAAAAGAAACTCTCAAAAAGCTCACAGAAATTATTCTCTTTGCTGATTTCATTCCATAGTTCTTTATCTTAAGTGAAAAATCACAGTTGTGATATAGCTTATTATAGAAGCATTTAAACACTTGTATTATTCTTACATTTGATTGTAAAAGATCCTTGAGAAGATCCAGTTGGGATCAGTAGTTCTTGAGAAGAGTAAGAACAGTTGCTCCTAGTGGTTGCTATTGTAATCATTTGATTAATAGTGGATTAAGTCCTTGTTGAGAAAGGCAAATCACTCTTGATAGGGTGGACTGGAGTATTTGAGTTCAACGAACCAGGATACAAATCTTTGTGTTTTTATTGCTATAAGTTTTTCTATATACTTATTCAACCCCCTTCTAAGTATTTTCTCACCTTCAGGGTATTGGTGAAGCAAGGTAATAATTTCAGGGTCTAAGTATGGTGGTAAGGAATCAAAATTTGTAGTTGTGGAGGAACTAAGAGTATGAGGTGAATCCATTTGGTGAAAAGTCATAAGGTGGAAAGAGGCGATAACATTAGTGTGAACAAGGTGGCATAATTGGTGGAAGGTAGTGTGATTTGGATGAGATGTAGGATCACCCCTTAAAGTGATTGGTTGGTTGTGGTGGTTAAAAGTGATGGACGAAATAGAGAAATCTGCCTGAATGGGGCCCAAGGTGCGTAGCCACGCCATGCCCATAACTACATCGGCACCTTCAATAGGCAGTAGGTAGAAAGGAAGTTGAAATGATTTTTTTTGCAATACAATTTGAACCCTTAGACAAATGCCCTCACATTGTAAATGGGAACCATTTCTCACCATAACTGAAAATTGAGGGATGGTGTTTGTATTGAGATTGAGATGGTGAGCAATGCGCGAATGGAGAATGTTGTGGGTGCTACCGGTATCCACAAGAACCATAACTGATAATCCTCCAACTTGTCCTTTGAACTTAAGAGTTTGGGGAGAGAATTGACCCGTTAGAGCATGGGTGGAGAGCTGGAAATAAGTGTCTGCATTGGCGGGATCCTCATTTTCTAGACCAGGACTGTCTTGAACCAAATTAGAATCTTCCAAAATTTCATCTTCAGCCAATAGGATAAAAAATCGATCAGCAGAACATTTGTGGCCCAAAATGATTTTTTTTTCGCAATTAAAACAAAGCCCTTAAGCTCTTCTTTCTTGAAGTTGGGTATGAGAGAGGCGACGAATAAGTAGTTTCGACAGTGTCAGGAGGGTTTGAGGTTTGGTAGGAAGGGATCCTTGATGGTGGGGAAAAAGGGAGGGTTTAGAAGGTTGCGAATTTGGGGTATTGGTTTTTTGGGAAGGGTTGAACAAAGGTTTTGAGAATTTGGGTTTGACATCTTTAAGTTTGGATTCAATGAGCTTAGCAAGCTCGAT